CCGAAGTCCAAGTCCTATGACTACCTGTACAGTGACGGACAGGCTCTCCTGAAGAACTTTCCAGCCCAGGCCACCATCAACTTCTATGAAGAGTCTGACAGCGAGGAGGAGGAGGAGGAGGATGACGACGACAACGAGGGGTGTGAGACGGAGGAGGAGGAGGAGGAAAGCGAGTCGGGGTGCCACCCATCTCGGACGAGCCCGCGCCAACCTCCGTCCGGCATCTCCTGCTACAACTGAGCCCCGGCACTGATCCGAAACACAGCGCCGGTTGTGCAACGTCTGCAGAGAGCGGGTCATGCCGCGTCTATCCCAGTCGGGCTCCAGGCTGTCCCGGCCGGCAGAGCGCCGATGGCAGGAGCTCTGGAGCTGGTGCCTCTGCGCTGATGGAACATCAACTCCTGTGATGAATCCCGGGAAAGACTCCAGGGGGAACTGGAAATGTGGGAGGGGGCATTTCAATATGGAAGACCGACACTTGTCAGGTTTTAAGCTGAGCGGGGAGTTTCAGTGACGAGGTGGGGGGGGAGATTCCTATCAGTAAATTTAGATTGTATTTATTACCCTTTTAAGGAAAGGTGCTCTTAGCCCCCTCGTGCATTGACATGGGCTGGGCCCAGGTTATCTCCTGTCCCTCCATTCTCACCTCTCGGTGTCCTGTGCCAGAGCTGTCGGTGGCCATTTTATTTGACACAACAGACAGAAACTCTGAGCTCATTGCAGGCTAGAGAGTCCGAGACTGAAGATGTGGAATATTGTCCCATATTGGGACAGAGGCTTTGCTGGCTGATGAGACTCCTCTTATCCCGGGTCGAAACTTTGTATTTTGGGTGTAAAACTATTCAGATTTCTAATAATATTTGTAAATTTAACTTATATTGTACAAAGTCAAATTTGAAAAGCGCTATTTTTGTATTTTTATATGGTTTTTTACTATTTTATTAAATTCTTTAATATAAGGAATTCATGGAAATAAAGCTTATACCGTGAAAAAGACCATCTCCAGTTTGAATGTGTGTACGACAAAGCGATGAGGTTCAGTTGTTTGTTACAGAAGTCTCCTTTTCCCGGCTCAATCCGGTGTGTCCATTCCAGGGAAACCAGACCAGTCACAAACGAGAGGAGCCATCCAGCCATCCAAATGGCCGGTTTGCTAGTTGGTAGTTTAACTAATCCCAGGATTTCATCCAGCAGTTTCTCAAAAGAAACCGGCAGCTTGTTCCACACCCCCACCTCCCTTTGCGTAAAGAAGCGTCTCCTGTTCCCAGTTTGAAATGCCCGCTCCACACCGGGGCCACATGGTAGTGCAGGCCATGATCTCTTTGTAGGTTAATGTGTCATCAGAGAGCAGTCTCTCCATCTTCCCCGCACAGAAAGCTGACGCCTCAGAGCCAAGACCCCCCCCCTCCTTTGATCTTTCCTGTCCCATTGTGACTCCTTGCTGGGTCAAGAATACCCCCTCCACACGCACACACACAAACAAACCCACAGCTGCCTGACTCCCCGTTTCAAGGCACTGCCTGTCCTGAGTCATCCGGTCTGGGAATACGCTTGCAGGCAGAGTCAAAGTTTGGGCTCTGTCGGGTCAGAGGTCACTGAGCACTCCTGTCACTGTCAGTTGTGGGACTTGAAGCGTTGAACTCCGTGTCACACAATACCCATCTGCCCCTGAGGGCCATTGTTAACAGAGGAGATTTCTTTTAGGTAATTTAAAATCCAGAGGGGGGGGGGTGAGGGAAACAACGCACACAAACACATTAAAAGAGCAAAATTCCCGACTTTCCAGCCACTTGTTCTCTCATTGTAACTGGCGCACTGAACTAAGCAATGATGCTCGAGGGACACAATGACGTCCGCGCCGGGGCTTTTCGCCTGAACACGACAGTCATACTGCACGGTATGACGGCAGACGGTAACACAACGCTACGTGATGCGTTCGCTTGCGAGGTGGGAGCAGCGATTCCACTACCCCCGCAAAGTTTGCTTCAGATTTCAGGTCCCTCACGACGCGCTGTTTGTTTTGTGTCACAACTCCAGCACCGGGGGAAGGCGGGGCGGTGTGCTCGGCGGAGCTGTATCTGTAGCTACAGTCCCTCGCCCAACATCACTCGGAGGCGACGACAGCTGGGGTAGCACGCCCTGCGTGACTGCAGCCCCCACGCTGCCTTGTCGTGACAAACGCAAAAGGCGTTTATTATTTTTTTTTCCCACATGCGTGAATAAATCACAACTGCACAAAACTGCGGGGGCGTCAGCCAGTCGTGAATAAGCCCACTCCGCCTCCCCCACCCCCCGGTCCTCGTTTCTTACACCCACGCATTTCTGCGAGCACGCCAGCCTACAAATGCCAGTGACGGGTCGCACAGGCGTAAATCTACCCTTGTAATTCCGCGAAATGATAACGGTGTTTCACCGCCGGATAATACAGAATATCTAATGAACTGAGACAGCTCGCGAAACGTACTGTGTTTTACTTGAATAGATTTCCCCCCTCGTTATTAATCCCGCAGAAGAAAACAACCCCCTCCATTTGATCGAGACCCCTTTCGTCAGCTGGACGGGCTCTCGTGTGTATTTTCTTCCCAACGCACACCTCAATAGTAATCGACCATGTGGCTCTAGAAATCCGGGAAATGTAGTCTTTTAGCAAAAGGTGTGGCAAGTAAAAACGGGATGGTCTTCTCAGCTTTGGGATTGAGATCCTTCCTCAAGAGCTACAGCTTCGGGATGGGTACACGGCTGACGTGCTCATTCCAAGGAAGAGTTTTGCTTTCTCCCCCTGCATTCAGTGGCGATTTAAGTGCTAGTTAATTAAAGGCGCGAGGCTCTGCGAAGGAACTCCAACTACCAGCATGCACCGTGAAAACAAAGGCAGAGGCTTAGTGTATCAAACCCGGACCGTGAGGGCTCTGATTGGTTGAAACTGGGATTCCACGTTTCCGATTGGCTAAGACGCTTTTCATTCACACTTCGAGAGTAATTCGTGTGTAGACGCTCTGTTGCTGGAAATAGCAATGGAATGGAAGGGATTCGACTCTAACGGGGGAAGGTAGGCTTGTATTATTGCTCTATTTCAGAGTTGCAAGTTTATAAATCAGAAAGATAAAAAGCACCCGTTGTTTATTCGGGGGGCGTTGTAATGGCGTGATCGAAAAGGGTGCGTGAAATGTTCGGTTATAATCTTCGTTTTATCGCAAGTACCTCATCAGGGTAGTGCTTTCAAAAACCTCAATGAAAAAAAAAACTCAGCACGACTGTTAATAAATATTTGATTCATACAGAAACCGTTTCTCGACCTCCCCTGGTTGGTTCGTGTTAGTAGAAAACGAGCCTGATATTCATTATCATCCACGTTTCACACAAATGGAAAAAAAAACAAACGTGTTGCCTTTTTTTTTTGCCAGTGGTTAAAATGCATGCGTATGTAATTTATTAGTCACGTTAAGTAAGATTTAGCTATCCAAGAACAGCGCGTAGCAGCTAATTTTCCACGGTTTAATCTTCTCGGCATCCCTTCAGGCAGGAAGATGTGGTTGTCAGAATGTGTCAATTACAAAGTAGTAGGCAGGCAGCACCGCCGCGCCACAGAGTAACTAGCGCCCTTTCTGTAAATAGCACCTGATGGATACCAGCTGTAGCCCAGTGTTGATGTGTAGGGTACGCCACAACCGAAAACAAAACCCCCCTTCTCCCGGCTCCGCGGCTCCAGACAGCGCCGTTCCTGTTCTACCTATTCTCGCCGAGATGCGTGCTGTTGTTGCGGTTTAATTGTGTCAACGCGGTGCGTGGGGGGTGGGTGTGTGGGGGGGGACCCCCGCAGCTGACGGCGTGTCTCCCTTTCGCTCGCTCTCGCCCTCCTTGCTGTTGCCATGGCGATCCCTGCCCTCCTCCGGGGAGACGGCCGCCGCGTGAACGCGGGTGGGACGCGCCGGCCCGCGCACCGCAGTGCCACCGCGCGGGGATTGCCCACAGACCGGCTCAATGAACCGGCCGTCAGGAAAGCAGGAGGGAGGGATGCTGTTGCCGGGATCGCCGTCAGAACAGCTCGTAGTACAGCCAGTAGCGGTGTCTCCCTGTGTCCATTGACTCCCGGCTGCTCCGTCTCCCGCCGCTCTCGGGCTGAGCACTAGCGTCACCTCTTGCGTTGCTCCACAGTAATGCCCCGTCGATTTCCGAGGGAATTCTTTTTAGAATTCGTCTCGCAGTTTGATTCAATTTAAAAATCCTTCGTTTTAGTCCGTAAGGGGAGAAAGAGGATGTTTTCCCCTCGCGAAGATATTGACAAAGCAAATCCATCTGACGTCTACGGGGTGAGCTGTTTCACGGGGAGTGGGGAGGGCTTTCAGGCAGTGCCCTTACACCAAGAGCAGTGGGGGTCTGGAGCGGGCTGTTGAAGCTGATAGCCAGGCCGGGGGGTCCGTTAGTTCCTGGCAGCCCAACAAGCGTTTGTTCCCCGTTTCCTGTTCTCCTCCATCTTCACAACCTTCCTCCTTTCACAGTCTTCCTCTGCGTTCGCAGGTCGTGCTGTTCCACTCTCCGCTGCGGACCGGCAGCATGGCCGAAGGCAAGTCCTCCGTACGAGCGGCATGGCGGGGGTGGGGTGGGGGCGAAGCCTGGAGATATCTCCGGCTCTTCCCGGATCTCCTGAAAGCATCCTGGTAGCACCCAAGGTGGAGCAGACGAGGGTGGCTATCTGCCCCTGTGTTCCGGCGGAGGGTGCCTTGTGTGCCAACTGAGTTGGCCGTTACTGATAAGTGTTACCCCGGGGGGGGGGCAGTTTGGCCTTCCCATTTCTGGGGGTGTTCCCAGGCAGGGGTTCCCAATCCTGGTCCTGATGATCCCCACGTCTGTGTGGTTCCATTCTGACCCACCTTCAGTAGATCAACAAAGCCTTTCTCGATCTAAGAGGCTGCGTCTTTGGAAGATTTACGTTTGTTTCTTTCTAGTCCCCAGTTTGGGGTTTATTTCAATTGCAAAACACAGTGGTTAAAGCTCCAACATGTTCAAGAGCTGGGAACAAGGAGTTCCAATTGATCTGATTATTATTATTAAGTCAGGGGAGGGTTTGATTGTGCCACTGAGGGCTCGGCTGGAGCAGAAACCAGCAGGTGTGTGTGTGTGTGGGTCACCGGGCCCAGCACTGAGAACCACTGGCGCAGGGGTTGCTCATTCAAAGTGAGGTGTGGTGGCTCTGTGGCTCAGGATCTGCGCCTGTGGCTGGAAGGTTGCCGGTTCGTATCCCCCGGCCGGCAGAGGAATCCTACTCTGTTGGGCCCCTGAGCAAGGCCCCTGACCCCAACTGCTCCAGAGGCGCCGTATAAAAGGCCGACCCTGCGCTCTGACCCCCAGCTTCTCTCCCTGTCTGTGTGTCTCATGGAGAGCAAGCTGGGGTATGTGAAAAGACGAATACCTAATACAAGAAATTGTTTATGGCCAATAAAGTGATCTTATTTTATCTATCTTATCTTATCTTATCCAAAGCATATTGCAGGGATCATGTGTGAGTTAACCACACAATCATCTAGCAGCTATGTCACTCTGCAACTCACAACTAGACTGCCAGTCTGAAGCTCAGCAGGTGGGAGCCTGGTCAGTACCTGGATGGGAGACCTCCTGGGGAAAACTAAGGACGCTGCTGGAAGAGGTTTTAGTGGGACCAGTAGGGGCGCTCAACCTGAAAACTGTGTGAGTCTTAATGCCCCAGTATAGTGACGGGGACACTATACTGTAAAAAAGGCCCCATCCTTCAGAGGAGACATAAAACCGAGGCCCTGACTCTCTGTGGTTATTAAAAACCCCAGGATGTTTCTCTAAAAGAGTAGAGGTGTTACCCCAGTGTCCTGGCCAAATTTCCCCCTGGCCTTTACCAATCATGGCCTCCTAATAATCCCCATCTCTGAACTGGCTTCATCACTCTGCTCTCCTCCCCACTGAGAGGGAGCAGACTGGTGCATCATCCAGGTGGAGCTGCACACTGGTGGTGGTGGAGGGGATCCCCATTACCTCTAAAGCACTGTGAGTGGAGTGTCCAGAAAAGCACTATAGAATTGTAAGAATGATTGTTATACAATTATTAATCAGAGGTAGTGGAGTATTACCCTGACACACCGCATGTTACACCAACAGGGCATCTGGAGAGATACATAGAGAGAGGGGAGGGGGTTGTTCAACTGGAAGCTGGAACACCAATAGCAAACAAAGGCTTAGAAAAAAAAATTAAAACGCAGCCTTTCTGCCTGTGACTCAACTCCTCCAGGACAGAGTTGGAACCGAACGGCAGCTACACCTCACTGTCGGAGACGGCTTCAAGTTCGTTCTTCATTTTTAATGTAAAAAAATGCAGGCAAGTACTTTCCCACTAATGAGGTCCCCTGGTGCCTGCTTGCTCTCACCGGCAGGCTGTTGCTGTTCGCACAGGAGCGATCTGAGAGCTGCGAGAGTGAGTCCTGTGTTGTGTGCAGGGTTGGAGTAAAGAAGAAGCAGAAAACAGGCACTAAGAATACTTCTGTCTGTCCTTTTTGCCTCCGAGTGCTGGGAAATCTGCAGAGACTGTAGTGGGGAGCACTGAGACATGAGAGTATCATTACTCTTTTTAAGGAACTTATCCAGGCAGCTTCAGGGGATCTGCTTTAGGATGTCAGCTGTCCCAGAGGTGCAGCCCTCCAGTATCGTTCACCCCCAGGGAATTCCTGGCCAAAGCTATCCGTCCCTGGTTTTCTCTGCAGAATCTATGATCTCCTTACGGGAAAACTCGATGGACGTGGAAGCTTATAGCATCTCAAAACGTGCTCGGCTTGTTCTCACACCCATGAAGTTTCTATTAGTTTTCTAGAACAGGTTTTTTTTTTCAAGCCAAATGTCCGCATTCCTTGTCTCTGTGACTGAACTGGCTCTTGCTGAAACACGGGTTTTTTTAGCTCGGTATGTGCAGCAGCGAGCCTGTCTCGGCCTGGGAGACTGTCTGAGGGACTTTCCCCCTTTCTGTCCCCCTCCGCCAGCGTTCCTAGGGGAGAAGGATGCTCACTCTCTCCTCCGGCGACTGCGGCGAGCCAACGGGTTTCTGGAGGAGTTCCGGCAGGGCAGCATCGAGCGGGAGTGTGTGGAGGAGAGCTGCAGCTTCGAGGAGGCCAAGGAGGTGTTTGAGAACAAGGAGCGCACGGTACCCAGGAGCAATTTACTGCTTCACTCGAACAGAGCTGTGTCATCACACTGAGGCTGCACACAGAGACACACAGAGACACACAGAGACACACAGAGACACACAGAGACACACAGAGACACACACTGCTTTCACACTCCAGACAGGCACTTTGCATTGATGCGCACACGTCACTCACACATATAGACCTACATGTGAGGGCAGTGATGCACTCTGCACTGATAATTTGTAGTGAGACACACACCACTGAGACTTGCTCCCTAAAAAAAATGCGCACACACAATATTTTTATGGCTGGTGCACTCATATGCACAAAATGGTCAAGATGTTATCCTCCACTGCAGAATTTGCTCAAGTTTTTCTTAATGTTGTGCATCCCAGCAGGTCATGTTACAGAGGGATTTGTTTTTTGAGGCCAAAAAAAGTAGAGCAGCGTCTCTGCTTCATAACAGCATTGTATCTTAGTAAGCGATTGCTTTTAGTTTTTTGCTGCAATTTTTGTAAAACTGGGAGAGAATTTTGCACTTGAGCAAGAAGATTTGGGGGGATCTGCACAGCGCATGAAAGTGTGCAAACTCCTGTCACAGCTCTGTCTCCTTGTCTCTCTGTCTCTCTGTCCGTGTGGGCCTCTCAGATGGAGTTCTGGAAGAACTACATCTACACCGTGAGCAGCAACTCGGAGGCTCGGACTGAGCGCTCGGACGCCGTCTTCATGGTGGTGCCGCTGCTGGGCGTGGCGCTGCTCATCATCATCGCGCTCTTCATCATCTGGAGGTGTCAGCTGCAGAAGGCCACGCGGCGCCGGCCCGCCTACTCCCAGAACCGCTACCTGGCCAACCGGACCTCCCGCAGCCTGCCGCGCATCCTGGTCCACCGGGAGCC